ACCCATGCAGGCAAATCTACCTTGGCTTCACACCATGGACAGTTGCAATAAGCTGCCTTTCAAATTTGAGGTCATTTTGTACAAACCAGTATTGGCATGCTTGTTTGACTGTGCTCACAGTGCTGGCAAGGACAGGATCCATGTGATGCATGCGCTCAACTAGAGCCCAAGCTCATTGATCTGGCAGAGAGTGCTAGAAGACAGATCCCACATACACGTCATGGACGTCTTACCCTGCTCTAGCTTATTGATATCATGTGCGAGCACAACCAGAACAACAATGCTCTTAAACTTCAGGTATTTTTTTCAACATGTTCATATTATTTTCGCATTGATATATTGATCTAGAGTTTGAACGATGGACCAAAAATCAAAAATTTGCTGGCAGAACTTGAGGATCACACCTCCTGTTAGGTACCGTGCCGGCTCAGGAAGCAGAGGGGTCAGGGCTTGGCTTCAGTTCTTGCGCTGCACCCTTAGCCAAGTATGTGCCCTGAATTTGGAGTGGGTCCGACATTGTCTGATGGTAGGACGAGTGGACCGCTTAGGTCCGCTTTGAGGGTCGGGAGGTGAGAGCTACTAGCGACGGGCCAACTAGGAGTGGAGTGGAGAAGGCGGAGGAGAATGGGGAGGGTGGAGAGGAGCAGGGGGAATACTTGATAGGGGCAGAGAAGTAAGGAGAAGACTTAGTGCACAGCTCTAAGTTGGAGCGGAGGGTCGGAGGTGACAACAAGATGAAACTTGTGTCCAGAGGAGGCAAGGTCCTACTGAGAATTCTCACAAGTAGTAACTGCAAGAAGACAAGTAATATTAAGACTGGGGAAAAATATCTAAGTACAGGATATGTTATATACTTCTAAGTATGAGGCAGTGATTAGGATAACTATGTTGTAACATTATGTACCAAGGATATAATTTGTAAGTACTTACACAGGTGAAGACATAAGTCGAAGCGGATATCAATATGTACGCGTCGGATCAGTGATCGAGCAGTAAGAGGAATTACTGGTGATCTGGGAGTAAGGGTCTATGTACTGAAGGGGAAAGTATATATCTAAAAGGGGAAAGCGATCCCAGTTGAATGGAGATGTTTATGGAAGGGGACCAGTTGAGCGGTTGAGCAGAAGTGTAGGGGTGGATGCGGATGATGATTGGACAGAGCAGAGGATGGATGGAGTGGAGGTGGTCAGAAAGCGGAGCAGATATTAATATTGGAGCAGTCGGATCAGGTATATGATACCTCCCTTCTCATGGTGCTAGCATGGTGGATGTCCCCTGCAGACAGCACTCCGAAATGGTGCAAGCATTTACACCATCGTGCAGATGGTTGAACAGGCTCTCAATCATGGATATCGACCAGGAGTCGCTGTTCTTGTGGTCAGCCCTGTCTATGTCCTCATCTTCAATTTCTACTTCCTCATGTTCAAGCTGTCTTCCTTGTTGATTGAGCCACTCTCTGAGAGCTCAATAGCATGTGTCAATTTCATCAGCAGTCCACATCATAGCAGGTGTTTAGATAGTTTGTGAAGGAATGTTGCAAGCAAGTTGGTAGTTTGTGATGATTGTGGTCAAATGAAAAAAAAAAGTGTTCACTTTGACAAACACCTTCGCGCATTGAAGAAGCTCAGGTGCAATAATAACCATGAAGGTTGTACTGTCTCCTTATCCTGCTTTTGCACGAGATTGGTGAAAATACTTCCAGCCAGACATTCCACAGACAGCCAAGAGAGGATAATTGCACCATCATTGAGCAAAAAAGGGTTGATCACATAGAGACATATGTGCATTCCAATGTTGTCAAAGAGTTTTTTATTGAGTCCAAATGGACCAAAGAGCTTTTGATGATGTTGGAGATGGCCAGAGCTGCTGTTAAGACTGTGCTCAGGGGTAGGACAGTGTCATATACCGGATCCGGGCACCTCCAATACCACCTGTGAACATCCCCACCCTGGTCCGACCCCCTGTTTTCCTGTCCACTCCATCCCTCCTCCGACAATGCATGAAGTGCATCTCAGCAGGACTAGCCCTGCTACCTCCACCCGACCCCATTCCGCTCCTCTGCCACTACCCCTATGTCCTCCGACACTATACGGCTTCCATCCGACCCTATCTGGGGTTCTGCCCCTCCACCCTATCAGTCTGCCCAATCCTACTCCTACTCCCTCCACTTTTCCAACCCGCTTGGTTCCGCTCATCTTGTCCCACCCAACTATTAGTCCGTCCGACTGCCTCACCAGTCCACTCCTAGACTAGGAACCACCCAACTGGTCCTATCCCCATTTAGTATCATAGTTCCGCTTTTTGGATCACCGGTAATCCCTATACCCTAGCGATTCTGATCCATTGCGTACATACTGTTCCCCGAGCCTTATTCTTGTATGTCTCAGTCATCCTATTGTACTCCTGAGCGCTCAGCACATAGCCTTCTGCTATGCTGTGCTCATTGCTTAGAGTATATAAACATATGTACATTTGTCTGTAGATACTCAGTCTGAATATTACCTTTTCTAAGCCCTGCTCTTCTGTTCTTTGACTTGGGCCTGATCCTAGTCAACTCCTGTTAGCTGGCCTATGGGATTGACTCCCTAGGTCAGCCACCCTCCAATCCTCCAATCCTCCAATCCTCCAATCCTCCAATCCTCCAATCCTCCAATCCTCCAATCCTCCAATCCTCCAATCCTCCAATCCTCTGTTCCCCCGTTCCCCCGTTCCCCTGTTCCCCCATTCACCCATTCCCCCATTCCTCCGCTCGTCTGACTTCCCACACATCAGACTTGATCCCTGTACCTATGTATATCTGTCCCCTTGGGTTCCGCTCTGCTTCAGACTTTGTCCGAGTAGTCCTCTCCGTTCTGCTTCTACTGTTGGTTCTGACCACAGTAGCCCTCAACCTCTTTCCTGTCGGGTGGAACAACCCCCACCCAACTTTCCCGCGCTCGCCTAGTAGTCCATTGGTCCTCCTTCAGAGGACCCCCATTCTGACATCCTGTTGGAACTCATAGAACTCCTGTTGGACTACATTCCAAAATTAGGGGCACGTACTCGGGTAAGGGGCGCAGCGCACGAGCTGAAGCCAAGCCCCTCAGACTCCACTTTACCCCTGAGCACGGTCTTAACATACATGGTGACCACAAAGACCTGCATGAGCTCGATGATCACATCAAAAGATATCAAGGGTCAAGTCCTAGATGAGAGATGCTGAAGAGCCAAAAGGAGAAGGACGAGCAACACAGGACATAAATACTTTTACAAGGCAAATATGAAATCATACTGAGGAGAAAGAGGTATTTGAACATATATAAGAAGATGTGATGAAAATATGTCTACTATGGTATGTTTGGATGATCGAGAAAAGACAAGGTTTCTGGTGGGATGATGGCTGTCAGTGGTGTGAGCTGGTTAGGAGGTGCAGGCTGCAGGACTCTGGGACTTGTGGCATATCTCTCCAAGTGATTTCTGTGTGTCTGTTGTCAGAAATTTCTGAGTTTGATTTTAATGTGTTGTAATGCATTATAATGCCACAATGACAACACAGCCGTGGCAATGGGAATGCAATGAAAGCCCCATTTTGAAATGCCGACAGGTGCTGGTGGCAATGGGGCGCCAATAGTGCTAATGCCAATGCTGATGCCCATTGCCATGCCCATTGTAAAATTAATTCTTATGTTATTGCAATAGCATCAAAATAAAGGCACGGTCCATGGCAATCATATCTATCTGATTATCATGCTATTTTAATATCTACCCCTACCAATCTTATCGTCCAATGTTATCTATTATTATCTACTACCTACCCATCTATCTGAATCTATTGTCTATTAGAATCTACTATCTAATGTATTGTCTATTATTAGAATCTATTATCTATGTCATTATCTACTGTCTATTACATTTTCACACTTAAACTTACACTGGTTCGAACTAGCGACTACACTATTATTCTTATAGTAACTTTATATTCACTTAGGAAGCAAAACCACTACATTACAGGGCCTTTCTTATAGGGAACCCGAACTCTATTAGACAACCTCTCTATGGCCTTATTAATAGGTATTAAAACACTTAATAGACTATTACAAAGACTATAGTAATAGTCCGTCAATTTGATTCAGAGATCCGCTAAGTCATTGACACAAAGTTCATAAACAGATTGTGGTATTACTATGTAGGTAATAACTGAATCTAAGTAGCACATCAACAAGCAGTATAGGTATTAGTCTAAGTACGTCGGGTGGTGTTAGATACATTACGACAAGTCCTGCCCCCTCGACAGCCTCTGACAGGAGCTCTAGGTGCAACTTGATTACTAGCTTCATCCTCAGGCTCTGTAAGAGGACTGTTAGCTCTCAATCTGTCTCTGGCAGCCTCAACATCAGCAACTGTTTCGTCCATCATATTCTCCATATCCTCTGTAACCGGTGTAGGGAGTATCCCTATGCTAGGCTCGTATCCACCACTTTTCCGATGCATCAGGTGTCCATCCGACGTCCATCCGACACCTATCCATTCCATCCGATACACATCCGCTTTTCGGATGACATGCAGATACCTTCAGATCTCCTCCTATAGCTTGCGCATCCGCCGCATCCGTCCTGTCCACGTCCATTCTACCTCATTGGTACGTACTCACACGCATTTTCTTGTTACTGACTGAACACAGACATATCCTCTCACACTCCAGTATTTTTCGGATAGCTTATGGCACGGTCTAGACTCACTACCTATATATCTATGTTCCTTGAAAATACTGTACCCTATAAGCATGGAGGGTTTCGAAAAATACTGACTTCATGTAACTTTCTCCCACTTTTCCTGCACCCTACCAGAAGATTGCTTTGACTTGTACTCACTATCCATCTAACCTTTAATGAACTTCCTTCAACTTTGATTCGCATCCCGTCCGATCCACAAGTGCCATCTGCTCCATCCGACAAATCTGTACGTTTCACATCCTATCCGTTTCATCCACTTTTGCGGATCTTTCATCCTATAGGGTCGCTTTAGACAGAGACTAGTGTTTCCCCAGTGGCAATCCCCTTAAGGGTCGAACGCACTTGTTCCCAAGCGAGGCAGCAGGCAGCAAAGACCCAACTGTGTAGTAGATTGACTTCTCTCTGCTGCACTTGTTGTACCCACACCAGCAACAGGTCAGGCTGCACAACACTCTCCTCGCCTTCAGTTACACCCACCAAGGCACGATCCATTGCCGCTGTGAAATCCTTGTCATCCGACATTGAACTGGCTGCTCTTGAACCATGGGTGAAAATGAAATTATTGAGTTTCTTCACGATGTCGCATGTGTATTCTGTGGTCCAGTTCTTGATGAGAATCTTCTTGTATGAGGAGAACATATAGTTATACTGTATCTTCGTGGTCTCACCCTTTCCGGAATAGCGAAACTCATTGTCCGCACTGAGCAGAAAGATAACCTGATGAAGTTGCATCAGTTTAGACACTTGAGATACACATGAAAACTTACAACAACTGCCACCCATGACAAGAGACCGGGTGTCAAAGACGTCACCCCCCACTTATGACCATTGCATGGTGGTCCTCCTGCTCGTAGTGCAGTCAACCAATTTTCGCCCCACAGTACTATCCAGATGGCCTGAAAACATAATGGGTGAGACGGTGTTACAGTATTAGATAAGTTTTGAATGAAGTGACGCACCTTCCCGAAGATTTCCCAGTTTCCAAAGAGTGTCTTCAGAGATGCATCTTCAACCGGGTTAGGAAAAAGGATAGGTGGGAAAGGCTTGGGAGTGCGCTGTGATGTAGTGATACCAAGGCGATGCTGGATCTCGGGCACAGATGCCCGATTGTATGCTGTATCACTGAAGTACTGTTCAGGGAGACCAAAAATGAGCCCGACTTTGGAGTGCAGTTTCTTGATTTCAGATGCGCGGCTACTGTTCATCGCATCCTCAAACTTGAGTACGATCAGCTCCAAGAACTACGAAAATGAAAATGTCACTCATGGTGTCAGTGAAATGGTTGTCAACAACAAGAGGGTGAATATGTGACGGAAGCAGACTGAACAATTTGGATAGCAGGGCTGACTCTATTGAGGCTGGCGTTTCATAGCATGACAGTTCATTGAGAGGTGGAGCGAACGTGGGATTTGGATGCTGAAGGAGTTGCCTGTCTGGCACAAACATTTCATAGCAGGTACTGTATTTGCGAGCACATAGGCAGATTTCTTCATCAAAGGCCATGTGTCCCTTGGGGATGTTTTGACCCTTCTTCTTCTGCTTCGGCTGATTTGCCTTGAGGATCCTGTTCTCTTCCGTCAACTCCTTGTTGACGTCCTTAAGTTTGAGCAACTTGAGTTGCATTTCTCGCAATGCCTGAAGCAAATGTTAGATGACTTCAGGAATGGTCAGAGGGCTGACTCAGACCTGTTCAAGATTGGTGGTAGCCTGCGCATGTGCTTGTGCCATTGCAACTGTGGATTCAGAAGTGACCAGAGAGCCTCAGTCAATGGAAGGGTGAGGGAAAAGTTGTCATCCGAGGTGCTTGAAATAAGGAACTCGATGGTGCCTCATGTTGAGGACAAGGTATTAATTAGACCCTGGACAGGATGAGTCAGTTCAAAGATAACAGGTAAAATCATGCATGGTCCACTTACGTGGCATAACCAAGAGAGTAATTGACAATTTGCTGCCACCGTGTGCCGACACCGACTAACACCTCGACCTTTTGGTGCACCCGTGCTCGTTGACACAATAGTAGACTTGTTAAACTCCTAGAAACCAACCCATGGTAAGAATAACTCTGGCCTGATCATCTGCAATAAACATACCGCTACACTTATTTTGAGCGTCAAAAGGTGGCGTAGCCACACAACGTTACTGCAGCTAGTCTATAACAGTGATATTATTTTAGTCATCAACAAATCAGAATGAAGGGCGACCACATGTACGATGAAAGTCAGGTCATGAACTTACCTAATGGGCGTCATGGATGGCTGCAGCCCCAGTGCAGATTCTTCATGCCAGGTGCCGAATGGGAGATGAAAGAGGGAATCTGAGGCAGTGGAAAGTGAGAGGTGATGGCAGATTCTTCATGCCAGGTGCTGGATGGGAGATGAAACAGGAAGGCAGTGGGAAGTGAGAGAGGATGGCAGGTTCTTCATGCCAGGTGCCAGATGGGAGATGAGAGGGAGACAGTGGGAGACAAGAGAGGGATGCTGATTCTTCATGCTGGGCGCTGGGAGGAAGACAAGATAAGGCTAGGTATCCTATACAATCACCTGCCACGAACTTGAAGGAAATGATGAGCAGACTTGTGCATCAACTTCATGCGCAAGAACATGTCTGTATTGATTGTATCGATCACCAGATAATCACCCTGGACATCGTGAGCTTCTGCGAAGGCTGTGCCACGGATGATGGAGTGAACTGAAAAAAACTCGGATGAGATCCTTGGTCTCTCACGAATGCGCCAGAACTGAAAGTGTTTATCTTTCAGAGGGTGTTGTCCAACTTTTGTGCTGCACACAACTTAACATGAAGTATATCACCGGAATCATCATTAGAGTGTTCTTCATCGTCCTCACTGTCCGAGTGCAAATGATTGTTTTGAGACACGATGAGGTCATCCTGGTCTTCGATATCCAAATGAATCGAATGCACAATGAGGAAGCGATGGTCGAGGTGAAGTACCTGTGTAAGATCAAATGAAATACTGTCAATTTTCACGAACTTGAACACATGAGAGCACGCACCTGTTCCACAATGTTTTTGAAGTTTGTCCGCCAAAGATAGATTTGTTTGATGGGGCTGTGACACTTCTCATTCGGTTTGGTGTTAGTATTTCATGTAGCACCTTTCGCCTCAATATCGTCAAACAGATGAGTGTGTGCATGTCGTTTTAGATATGCCCAGTTCTTCCCTGAGTCATCCTTTGCACTATATTGCTATATATAATTTGGACTGTAAGGAAAAGATAATGTACAACAAGACACTTACATCCAATAGTTGCGTAAAGTCCTTCACAGCTTGACTGGCCCGCAGTGATTGTTTCTGACATATGTACTTTGAGAGCTGCGTACATGTCAACGTTGACATATTCACGGATGCACTGAAGGAGCAGGTAAGGGAGTGCTTGAGAGTCTCGGTCAATGACATTGTGCGCAGCAAATACAATAAGCTATGGAACTATTAGTATTACAACTCGCAATCAATGAACACTAGCTTACCTTGGAGATATCTTCATGCTTCGAGCCGTCAGAAAATGATATATCCATGACACAATTAAAGTGATTGAGATTGTGCCAATGTGGCATCGAGTTGAAGCTATTGTACAATTAGTATTTGCTATACTGTAACCCCAAGAAGAAAATGCACTGTATATCAATTTTAGCCTGTGTCTGCCGACCAATTGATTTGACGTGTTCCTGGAACTGGGTCCAAAGATGATCGGAGAAATTACCTTCATTATTTACATGCAAGTGGTCAAATGAGACCGCAGAATGGACATTTGCACAAGTGACATCCAAAAATGTGTTCTAAAATGAACAATTCAAATCAGTAGTGGAAATACAGCAATCGGGAACTTACATCTACATCCTGGAGGCCTTCAGACATCAATATCTTCTCTTTGTCTTCTTGTCAAGCCTGCCTTCGCGCCTCCAAAATTGTATCTTGAGTAGATGTGCCCGTTCGCAATGGATACGACGTGAGCACATTGCCGAGTTCTTCTCTGGGAACAAGACAGACAGGGCAGGGATATTTGCACATGGTTCCACATATCAAAGTCATAACACATCTATTATAATAGAACAGCCATTGAGAAACTGCAACAATAAAAGTGACTTGTTACATACTGTTCCTCGTAGTCAGCTGACAGGATAAGGATGACTGGGTAAAAAAGACACTCGATGCCATCCCAACACTTGACCCAGAAGCTGGTTTTTGAATGTGACATGAGTGCGTTGAGAAGGCGCTTGAATGATTCGTGCCAGACATCATTTTTGAAATTGATGAAGGACTGAGTCCCAGAATACTTCTTATCTTCTTCGACCTGCAAAAGGTAGCTGAATGTGTCAAAGTCCATAAAATTTGACTAGTGACATACAATAGGAAGCCAGCCTACAAGGCAGCGGCGGCCGAACCCTTCACCAATGCATATTTCGACAGGTGAATTTGCACATCGTGCAATCACAGGATATGCCTTTTGACGACCCATTGTTGAGAGTTTTGACTTGTCAGCATATAAGACAAAAGTGAACGGTTTTCCTTCATCATTTGGCAGGGATGACTGCAATTGCATTTGGATCATAAGAACATTCAAATCCGGTAATAAATACATACTTGAGACTCCCAAAATGCATTGGCAGTCCACGGCTTGTCAAAAAAACGTACAAAATCTTGCCCATCAAACTTATACAAGCGTTGGGCATCAAACACGAAATGTGGGCCAAGGTGAGGGTCTTTCAGCAGATCACAGGCCCAGTCCCAGAGGGGCCTATGCCAAAAATCAAAAGTATGCTCCTGGTTCCTATGCGGGACTGAAATTACTTCCTTTTTGAACTGCACTTAAAATTTGATCGTTAGTAAGGCGCAGCAAGTCATTGTGTAGACACTAACATTCGTGTGATGGGGGGATGCTGCATCCCAAAGCTTGCAGATGCCATCATGGTCAGTGAGAGAGAATTTTTCAAATGCAGTATGATGGATGAGACCAATGAGGTCATTGGTCTGCAATTTCGTGAGATTTGCATTCAGCACCAATTCAGCAAAGTCGAAGTCAAGGCACAATCTGAATGGTTCCCAGGGAGTGCTATTGTCAGGAGGTCGCGAGCGGTCAGCAGTGCAGCAGTGGAAATCACTGAATCTATCAATTTTGGTGGTGGTGCCACTATGTGGATGGTATTCCGTCTTGATGTCATCCTGCTGGTGTGCAGGTGGCGGGACATGCTCATCTGTGAGCATCTCATGCGGTGCTGTGAATGATAAGCCTAAAAATGATTTTGAATGATGAGAGAATATTAAATGAAATGATAACATACCTTCATCAGCATATACAAACTCGTCTGTAGACTCATCAACACGAGGAGTGGGATCTGCTTGGGAGCCTAATGATTTGTTAAAACAAATACAGATGAATTGAGTTGAAACAAACCTCGGTCCAAGGATGTACCTGGTTTAACTTGGTTTGACGTGCAATGGACAACACAGGGTTGAGGGTCTAGCCGTTCAGACAGTGCTTGAGCTGCCAAGAAGAGTTATTCCCAGTGTGGATCATGTAGGCCAGGAATTATTGACTCACCTGCACGAGCACCCCGTCTCTCCCGATCTTCCTGCATCCGCGCTGCAGTCCTCCTGCAGGCCTTCTGGTGGGCACCAAGCCCATGGCTCTTGAATTGCTTGCCACAAATATCGCATGTTAAAGTCCATTCGGGTGGCATTTGATAGAAAATAGGTCCAGGTGATAGTAATACAGTATATGAGATGTGTACAATGATATCAATATGAATGGTATGGACAGCGTGTTATGTCAACATTCCAATGTGTTGACATATCACGTGCAATCATGGGCATGGTATGCCAATACACGTGCAATCATGGGCATGATGTACCAATACAAGGTCACATGATAATGATTATTCTATCATCCAAACAGATTGGAACACCACGTGATGACGTGGGAACACTATTTCAATGACAATTGCAATAGCGCATCATTACAATGGCTATAGGAAATTTCTGACAGTGTTGTCTGGAGGGTATGTGTCCATGAGGGTTTGCACTACATCAAGTGCAGTAGAATGGGTTTCACTCCCACCAGCAGTTCACAGTAGCAGTGTAGAAGATGTGTGCATGCAGGAGGTGCTGCAGCTAGCTATATAGGACTTAGAACCATATTTACGTGAGCCATGTACATGGAATAGGCCCTTGCAGACTGCTGTATGCACTGTGTGTACTCTCATTACTCAAATGTTAGCTGCATTTGGATCATCGTGATCTAACAGTACCAGTGGAGCTCGAAAAGATGTAGGTGCATGTTGTATGTCATCATCTGCTTCTTGCTCTGGAGTTCATCCCACCTACCACTACTTTAATGCGATCACAAAGATTGGCTTTTCTTGCAATTCAATGAGTTGCCCGAGGATTCCTGCAAGAATTTGGAAGCAGATCCATTGCACCCAGAGAACAAGGCACTCTTCAGTAGGTGTTTTCGACATAGACATTTGCATCTGTCCTGACTTACACAGTATCAGAAAGATCGTGGGAGGCCAATGAGAAAGAAATCTCAATGATGCATGTTGGAGCTGACACAAGATGGATGACCAATGGCCTTGACATATCGGCGATCTTCAAAAAACACAAGAAGGGGGCACTGTCATATATCACAGATAAGTCCAGGGACGGTATCAACCTGCCATACAATGAGGAGGTAGCATTGCCAGACAGATGGCTTGAACATCATGAGCCACCAATTCGATTCATGAGCCCAAGAAAGGACATGTATCTTCGTGCAGGTGAGTAGTCTATTTGCTGATATCTCTACATGGACTAATATGTTGTGTCTGTGCAGGAAATATTCTTCACAAACCATTGCTGTTTTTGTTCAACTGCTTGTCAAATAAGCCAGCAATCAATCCTACAGGATTTTTGTGCGAAATCATGGACATATTATACACTAATAAGAGGAAAGAGTATTGGTCAGTGAGTGTGGATGCCCTGTTTGAAGGTGAACTAAGTTGGAAAGACTTTGGCAATTTGTTGACTGAAGAGTTAGATTTGGGGAGGATGAGTGGGAGGACACCACAAGCAGAGGTATGTCTCTCATGGGTGTCATCTGTAGATTCACATGAAAGACAATGATTCAGTGGGCAGCGAATATAACTTGCCATTTCTCCCTTTGAATGCAAGGACTGTGGTGCAGGCTCTGAAGACAGCAAATGTATTGATGTCAGTAGCATTGAAAAAGCAAGGAGGTACAGTTTTAGCTTCTTGTGGCTACACTCAACTTATCTGTGCATTAGGTGATGGGGAGCAGAACTTGGCAGATCTTACTAAATCATGTCAGTGGCTTGGGGTGGACACAAAGAAAGGTATAATTACTTGTTGTTAATGTAGGACCTGATGTGTGTTGAATAATTGTTAGGTACTGTGCCGGCTCAGGAGGCAGAGGGGTCGGGGCTTGGCTTCAGCTCTTGCGCTGTGCCCTTAGCCAAGTACGTGCCCCGAATTTGGAGCGGGTCTGACGTTGTCCGACAATAGGATGAGTGAACTGCTTAGGTCCGCTTTGAGGGTCGGGAAGTAAGAGCTACTAGTGGCAGGTTGACTAGGAGCGGAGCAGAGAAGGCAGGGAGTGATGCGGAGGGTGGATAGGAGCAGGGGGAATGTTTGGTAGGAGCAGGGAAGGCGGAGGATAATGCGGAGGATGGGAAAAGGGCAAGGAAAATATTGATAGGGGCGGAGAAATAAGAGGGACACTTAGAGCACGGCTCTAAGTCAGAGCGGAGGGTCGGAGGGTCAGAGGTGACAACAAGTTGAGACTTGTGTCCAGAGGAGGCAAGGTCCTACTGAGAATTCTCACAAGAGGTAACTGCGAGAAGACAAGTAATATTAAGACTGAGGAAAATATCTAAGTACATGACATGTTATATACTTCTATGTATGAGGCAGTGACCAGGATAACTATGTTGTAAAGCTATGTACCAAGGATATAATTTGTAAGTACTTACACAGGTGAAGACATAAGTCGGAGCGGATATCAATATGTATGCGTCAGATCAGTGATCAAGCGGTAATAGGAATTACCGGTGATCCGGAAGTAAGGGTCTATGTACTGAAGGGGAAAGTATATATCTAAAAGGGGAAAGAGGTCCAGTTGAATGGAGATGTTATGGAAGGGGACTGGTTGAGCAGTTGAGCAGAAATGTAGGAGCGGATGCGGATGATGATTGGACGGAGCGGAGGATGGATGGAGTGGAGGTGATCGGAAAGTGGAGCGGATATTGATATTAGAGTGGTCGGATCAGGTATATGACAATAATTCTAGGTGGTGAGGGGCAGTCTGCTGCAGAGAGTAGGAAATCGCTTCAGGGACCTCCGGTGGTTTCTACAATACCTGCAGCATTGCATACATGGGGTAAACCTGTATCATCTCCCCACCCTCGCTCTGTAGCATCACCACTCCTTCCTATTAATGCTGACCTACCTGGCATGGAAGTCAGTCAGGATGGCAATGTATGCAAGGGAGATCAAGCTGGGAAAGAGAAGGATCAGCCACTAGTGCAGCTAAATGCTTCCACCTCTGAATCTATCATTGAAGCTCCAGATGATCCCTCTGGCTATATCAACCCACCTGCCGATCCAATGTTCATGTCGGCCCCAGTATCCAACCCTTAGACACATCCTGCAGAGCAACATCAGTTACCACAGCCTCCCAGCCCCTCCAGTGATATGATCGGAGTGTTTATCAATCTGTCATGTGGATGAGGCAGTCCTGTGATGCCTTTCAATAACATTACAAGAACAAACTAATTCAACCAACTACAACTCACTGCTTTCTTGATGTTGTCCTTGATCAAGAGCTTCAATGGAAGGCACAAGTTGACAATGCCCTTGAAAAAGGGCCGGCCTACGTACTGCAACTTCGACGCCTCTCCACCATGTCTAAGGGAATCCCCCTGCATCTAATGAGATAGCTCTATCAAGCCACAGCAGTCCCAAAGATGTTGTACACCACTGATTTGTGGTTCACCCTGACTTCTATTTTGGTCTGCACAAGCAGCTGAGAATGCATTATGTATATCCTGCTACGTACACACACACTGCAAGCTTACTTACAGTGACCCCAACCTAGAGCAGTTCACATCATTGGCGAACAGGGAAGACAGAATGAATGGGAGGTACGTCGACATGCTGAAGCTTTCATCACCTATTGCAAGGATTTGGAGAGCATGGACCCAATTTTTTTTGGTAGACCTTAGGTTAATTTCTACTTTTGAATTGACTTAATTGTACTGTTGCCAAGACGCATCAGGTTGCTTTTGGACTTTTAAGTGAGATACATTGTGTTCACTGCTTGGGTATTAAAGCTTTAGTGCTAGCACTAGCACCACAGGTAGCCATCCAGCCTGGTCTCAAGACAGCAGTCGAAGTGCAAGACATATGTGGTGTTTTGACAAGCTTGCAAAACAGGTAGAGCGCCTGAAGCGTGCACATGCCAATAGCAAGGATGACACCGGCAAGGACAATGGAGAGCCAACAAAGACAAAGAAACCATGAAAAACTTCGAAATATATGCTATATATGCTGTACAAGTGCACAGATTTTGGATCCTTCATGCACATGTAACAGTGCATTGGATAACTTTGTAAAATAGTTTTAATGTAGCGAATGGACTTAATGATTGAATGAAATATGTTGAACCATATCAAACATATATCGACTCTATGGCATACATGTATCTAACTGATGGCAAATTCTTGTTGAACATTGTGGCAAACATTGTGGTATCTCTAGAATATCACACTTCCAGAGAATTTTAAACCACTCTGAAGGTGTTGAAGGTTGGCATCTGTTATCTCAAGTGGTCAAGTGCTGTGGGAATTTAGGACTATGATTGTATATCACTGGATAATCACACCTGTGGCATAAATGAGGACTATAAGGTAATTCCCACTACAGCAGTAGTGGGTTTTGTTGTGCCATGGCCATTTTGACCTCAACAACCAAATTTTCTGGTGGAAAACACATTTCCTGGCCCTAAACTGTTCATTAATAGATTTTAGTTCACATGCACATTGTTAGGTACTGTGCCAGGCTCAAGAAGCAGAGGGGTCGGGGCTTGGCTTCAGCTCTTGCACTGTGCCCTTAGCCGAGTATGTGCGCCAAATTTGGAGCGGGTCCAACATTGTCTGATGGTAGGACAAGTAGACTGCTTTGGTCCACTTGAGGGTCAGGAAGTAAACACTACTAACAGCAGGCCGACTAGGAGCAGGGTGGGAAAGGTGGAGGATAGTGCAGAAGGTGGATAGGAGCAAAGGGGTTTATTGATAGAGGCGGAGAAGCAAGGGGGAAGACTTAGAGCACCGCTTTAAGTTGGAGCGGAAGGTCAGAGGTGACAACAAGATGAAACTTGTGTCCAGAGGAGGCAAGGTCCTACTGAGAATTCTCCCAAGTAGAGACTACAAGAAGACAAGTAATATTAAGACTGGGGTCTAGCTAAGTACAGGATATGTTTTATATACTTCTAAGTAGGAGGCAGTGACTGGTTAGTCCTTGGTAGGAGGCTATGTACCAAGCATACAATTTGTAAGTGAAAACATAAGTCGGGGCGGATATCAATATGCATGCATTGGATCAGTTAGATGAGCGGTTATAGGAAGTACCGGTGATCCAGGAAGTAAGTACTAAGTGCAAATGGGGAAAGTATATACCTAAATGGGGCAAGAGGATTTACAGTAGAATGGATGATGTGGAAGGCAACTGATGAGGTGGTTGAGCAGAGCCATAGGAGCGGATGCAGAAGCTGACTGGGTCGTGCAGAGGGCAGACAGAGCGGAGGTGGTAGGATAACAGGGAAAGTAGGATGTTGGGCAAAGCGGATATTAATATTGGCAGAGCGGTCGGATCAGGTATATGACACACATGGGTTCTGCTCAGGTGGTTTGCCTGCATGTTCTGTAATTTTCCTCATCTAAGTTAATCATGTCTTCTACTTGCTGCGAACTCCTTGGCTTTTTTCTGACATTCCAGCTGTTATTTGTGTGGACAAATCATGCTCTGATTCCTCTGTATTGTTGTCTTTTCTCCACCATTATAATGTGCCACATTCTGTTGCCAATCACGATGAGATGGCTGTGGAATCCACTTCTGGTCCTGCGCGTGTGCCTACCATTGAACGTTGATGGTTGGTACAATTCCCGACAGACATTTCATCCAGCCTATCTGAGTGGGTATGGGGCTCAACTTCAGTGCCCTTTGGAAATGGAAGTCACACGGCTTCCCACTGGTCACAGTTGAATTTTCCAATCTGGAGGTACATACATCGATCATTTTTTGTGTGCATGTTCACAGAGTGAGTATAGGTTCTTATTCACCCATTGTTGTAGGCAGAAAGCATTCCTCAGCTACCCAAGTGGGCTCATCTGTAATGCAGCATAATAATCAATACATGGATAACTTTTTTGAAGGCTACAAGAAATTGCAAAAACCAGCTCTTAATGCATTGGCAGTTGCCCATGGAATTTCAGTAGATATAGATTTGTTCATGAAAGACTTGCGCAAGTCTATTTCTCATCATGGTGGTACAGGAATCTGTGGTTCTCATGAGTCCCAAACATCTGAAGGGTACAATTCTGTGCAAAACAATTTTAACATGCATTGTGGTGATGAGGAGGCCATGTTGTCTGTGAGGATAGCATTCCTAACAGCTGAGTTGACACACACCAAATGATGACCTTTAGAGCAATTGCTAAAGGCAAATGAAGTCGGTTTTGAACTGGGATTGAAGACAGAACACCTACCCTGGACATTAAGAAGAAGCATATCAAATCACTACATGGCAAAGCAAAGAACAAATCTTCTCAACAAACTCATACCCAATCGCAATTGTATGATTGTGAAGACTGTCATTGTCAACTCCATCACGAATGGCCCCAGATTCTGTCCTCACAATTGAAGCAGCATTTGGTGGAGATGTTCAAGAAAGAAACTTTATCACAGAACTTAGCTACATTTACCTGTGTGTCCTGTGCTGAGTGTGTGCTGTTGTCATATACCAGATCTGGGCACCTCCAATACCACCTGTGAACATCCCCATCTGTGGTCTGACCCCCTGATTTCCTGCCCACTCCATCCCTCCTTCTCTGACAATGCATGAAGTGCATCTCAGCAGGACAAGCCCTGCTACCTCTGCCCAACCCCGTTCCGCTCCTCTGACACTACCCCTATGTCCTCCAATACTATATGGCTTCCATCCGACCCTATCTGGGGTTCCACTCCTCCGCCCTATCGGTCTGCCCAATCCTATTCCTACTCCCTCCACTTTTCTGACCCGCTCAGTTCCTTTAGTTCTGCTCGTGTTGCCCCACCCAACGATTAGTCTGCCCAACTGCC